CTCTGTCCAGTAAGACCAATGGAGACTAAGAATGGAAACATTATTTTGTAGTTCGTACTCAACACATTTGTGCCAATTTAAACGATTTTTATGTACTGTCATGTGAATATAGAAATAAATTCCAACGAAACATCATTTCTAGTAACCAAAACGCCTCAACGTCTAAACGACAATTAATTCATATATAAAGCAATATTTTAAATACAATGAAGTGACGAAGTTGTCCGACTGTTGTAATGTTTTAAATAAATGAACGATAACAAGACTAATTACGAAATGAATCGTATCGATTGAAAGTTACTCCAAATTATACGATACATCGACAAATGTAGAGAAAAGTCTCGATTGAAAATAACAGTATTATGAATGTAATGTCACAGAAAGCTCAGTTGACAAAATGCATCAAGTTTATGACATAAATTGGTAAACGTAAATATCCAGTGAAAGTGATTAAACACTATGATAATGTTATTTGCCGATAATTATACTTTGAATGATTATGTTGCTACGTCATACGAAGGGTCAAGAAATTTGTAATATATCTTTGAGTGAGATTTAATTAATGAAACATATTTCACATAATTGGTGAAAGATTGAGGAAAGATTTTCAAGTGTACCAAAGAGTTATTATCAATTTTATCATGTTACCCTGTTACCCAAAGAGTTATTATCAATTTTATCGTGTTATGTAATGCGTTGGCCTAATACAAATTATAAGTTCATAAAAAATATCAAAGTGATTATGAAGTGATTGCCAAAGATAGATAAACTTTCTACTAATATTATCATATTTTAATGTAAGAAAAAAAAAACAACTTTGTACATATGGGTTTCTCAAAGATGATAAAACGCATGTTATATGCGAACTTTGCATCGTGCAGTTCTAAAGCAGTAGGAATATTAGCACCATTAACGATTCCACCGTTGCATATAGCATTTTTGTATTACTTTTGGCAAGAATACTCACGAGATGTCGATAAACAGTACTGTTCATGTTCATGTTGGGATACAGTATTCAAAGGTATGTTAAAACTTTCACAGCTGATAATTCTAGCTTGCAACTTAAACTAAAAGTCAGACATGAAAATCTGTAGATGTATCTCTCTTTTAAACTGTTTACATTGCCAAAACACACTTTTATTTTAACACATTTTGTTTTTGCAACCTACAACCGATATCTTAGCATAAACATTTGCTCAATTTTATCCACTTGTATCATTCATACATTTGTTGCAACTCATTTCTAGTAACCATTTGTAATAATTTGAAATACAAGTATAACATGACATAGAACTATATTAATGATAACCAGTTACAGATTTAAGTCAACAAGAGTCAACTACAGATTTTTAAGAGACCTAGACATATGTCACCAGTTGAGAACATGTTAATGTTATTATTTAAATCAGTGTTTCTTAAAAATTATCTTTTCTTTCTTATCTCCATGTATAGATTATGCACCCTTTTAATAATAGACAATTTTTAGTATCTCCCCTTGAATAGAAATTAAAAAATGTATTTATGCAAATTGCTATCCCCAATTTGAGAAACGCTGATGTAGATATTAAATTTGATAAAAACACTCTTATAATAAATTTCTTATAAGAATTTAGTATTTTATTTCAGGATCATATGAGTCTGGTATTGCTTCTTACAAGCACATGTATTTCAATGCTACCGCAAACAGTTTAAAGATATGGATGATTATTGTAATTGGAGTAATCATATTCTATGAAACAACGAAACATTTAACATGGCTAGCATTTCAAAATCGTCTTAGATTTTGCATGATGATTCTTTTCTCAACTGCTATTTTTTCGCATTATTATACTTGGTGGGTTTATATGAATTATTGGAACGATGAATTCTATTCCCAATGGTACCATCAGTTGTTTTTCTCTATCACCGAGTTGATATCTACTTTCCTGGTCATCCATTTGGCAGATAGTAAAAATCCAGTAACTCATAGAAAAGCATTTGGAATAGCTGCTATAGCTATTTTACATATAGTAGCAGGCGGTTGGGATCAATTTGTTGCTAATGTTGTTAGAGGAGAAGGATACGCACATCAGGTAATCCATTTATGAATTACATAGGTATAAACATACGATACAGAACATTTTCGGTTGTTTGCTTTTTGCATTGGATGATGATCATATAAACACTCTATTTTTGGTAATTGAAAACGAAAAATCTTCTGAAGAATTTCCTTACATTTGTACAGCTTTAAAAATAGTACACAACATGGCCAAGACTTTATGTATTGTTTAATTGGTAAAGGAAATACAGAAGATCTTTTACTCTTGATTACTAAAAAAAGAAAAAGTTTTTTCAAATAAATAATGATATAGTATGAACAATATCGTCTTTAATAAATTAGTTACATAGTTAAACTTTGATTTAAATGCTTAGCTAGTGATTTGTATATGGTAGGTCGTACGTGATCTTGGATTTATGATCCCAGACATTCTTCACGTTGCTATTCCATTATGGGCTGTTAAATGGAAGAACGTATATAATCTTCCTGGTTCGGCCAAACGAGATCCTAGTATCAGAAGAGATCTAGCATATATGTTGGGGATGATATGTATAGGATTGTGCATTTGCGCCATACTGTAATTTTGACAGTTACAATGCCTAAAAAATAGTGTCTTAACGATAAAAAGATCCATTTGATTTGATTTATTTTCTTATAGAAAACTGTGGAAGTTATATATCCGCAGACGAATTTTATTGAGAAATACGAATACCTATCTTTCTAATACTTTTCACAGTGCCAGTACCTAGGCTAAAAATAGATGCTATCTTAGTTCGGTGAACTGAATTATAAGATGACTCCCATTGCCAACTAGTTACTTAATTTTTGTAGGATCAAAGATTCTTTTACTTTTTTATGTTCCATTTTATAGCATTATTAGATTATCTTATATGTTTTCAGTTAATTCCGTTGTACCATTTTGCTGTAGTATTAACTAGTAGTATTAACTTAAAATACCTGTAGAGTACAATTTGCTTATTATAAATAACAAATTGTTTTAGAGTTTTCATTCCTAATTTTTTTGTGTGTCAAGCAATATGGTATATTACATTTTGCCTAACATGTACAAAGGCTGAACAAATAGAAATGTTTATTTCCTTTTTGACATTTATCGACTATGTTATAATATTCACGTATATGTTATGACATATTAGATAAAAGTCTCGTATGTAATTTATACATATGCTCATGATAAATAGGGATTCCCTTTTTTTTTAAGTGACAATTTTAACGACTTATTTATGTTAATATTACATTACGATCAATAATTTATTATTTAAATAACTCTTTTTACAAAACATCAAAATATATCGAAAGGCATAACAAATGAATCGAATGAAGATACGTACAAAACATATGGATTTATATATTACGTTTTACAATAATTGCTTTTTGCTATATTTACGACAATATATTTGCTATATCAAAATGTCTATACATATAAGTGCAAAACGGTTCTAATATTAAAAATGGATACATATAGAATATTATTATTTAAAAATTTCGTAGTTCTAAATATCGATGAATGAAATTATTGGATTATAGAAATACTTGTAATATGTACTTATAGAAACGTTCGATTTAATCGGTCTGCTAGCTTAGTGGTTCGATCGTTTCTTTTCTATTTTTTAATTAGATATTTATCAATTTATTGTTGTGTGGGTTTAAATACGGAAGTTAGATAGTAAGCATTTTTATGGCTAAATAGTATTATTAGTATGTTTGTTTAAAATATGCAGTATTGCCAAATGCGATATGCGATACTTGAGACTACACGCAAAAATTGTATCAACAAAAAACATATCATATACAACATTTGTAGTATGTTTTTTAAAAGTAAAGATTTATTATTACATAAAAAAGGAAATGTATGAAAACGATCATTGGCAGCTATCAGGAATGGAGTGTCTTCGTTAATGAACATATGGCTACAACAAAGTGCCTATATGCAACGTGAATTAGTTTCGTTAATATTTCGATTCATGATATCAAATCTAGTGTATGAATTGATTCTACTCATATAAATAGACATTGATTAAGAATTTAATTTTTAAAAGCAGGACGGCTTTAGTAGCCATATAATAGTGAACTAGTTGTTAAAGAATTTTTTCTTCAAAGTAATGAATACATATATGTACGTATTATCGGTTTTCTTTTTTCGCGTAGAGTTGAGAGTGCAGAATTATACAATAAAACAATTAAACTCAGTATCACTCTAGGTGTTCAACTTTCATACAGTTAAGAAACAAACGACTGTATAAACAGACTACAAGGAATTTCGTTTTAATATTTTGCATAATTGATAAAATTCTATATCACGAGTACGTCGTTTTGTTACTTAAAATTGATTAAAAATTTTTTTAAATGTATGTGACGAGACCTTGTTGAGAGAATATTTTTAAATCAATTTCAGTCATATTTATCATTTATTTACATTGTACAATGTAAAACTGAGAAGACAAACGCTTGTCTTCTAACATTTAAAATTAGATTTTATAAAAATTGTAATAATCACCTATCAGTATTTACCTTCGGCATATCAAAAATTTGTGATAGAATATCTTTATTATCATATGACTTTAATATTATGAATAATACACCATGTAACGTGGAATAATCTCTCTAATTGCCAATTTATTATAATGGTTTAAGATTTTGTACGTCCATCGAAAGGATTCTAATTTATGTTAACTTTATACATCTTTTATATTAGGAAGGTATAATGAAAATTGTAAACAAAGTATAAAATATAGTTTCAAAATATGGCGAAAGAAATATATGTAAATAAATTAAAGTTTACAACAAAACTGTAATTTTCTTTCAACGCTACTTTAATTTGTAGGGAAACGGGGGGGGGGGGGGCGGGTAGCCGCTATCACTTTTTTCTTTTTGATGTTTCGTATATAACAAGGTACATAAAGATAACAACGTCTACTCTAAGGTAATTCACGAACATTTATTAATCGTAATAAGTAATAAATACAGTCAAAAACGTTCTTAACTTAATATATCCCAAATAGATTAACATTTGTATGTATAAATAGGCTAGAATAAATTATTTTTTACATATTTTCTAATAATATAACACTTGGAAAGTTTGATCGTCACAAAACTTATTTTCGTCGAAACTTATTGTTAGTTGTATTCTTCACGTCCTAACGCATCAACGAATCAAGTTTAAATAACTGCCCATCCTTTGTGTAACATTAACGATTCTAGATACGTCGAAATAGATATGATAAAATAACGGGAAGTTTACTTTTTCGCAATGGCCGAGGCTACCCCTCCGTTCCTCTGCGCCCTACGTCATATTATTTGAAATACTACCAAGACGGTGATAAGAACGAATTTTCCACTTTCCCGTGTGATTTAATAAAGTGTTCTGATTTAACAGGTTCGAGAAACCGATTTCCAAAACATTGTACTTGTAGAATCTTTGGAATATTAAAAAAAAAATATGCTGCAAAAGGATTTTTAAGGAGTAAAACCACTCTAGAGGCAGAAAAAAAAAAGACCTAAATTTGACAATTTATCTTGGGAGTGTGACAAATGAAATAGAATTTCTTTTCAGAGGGTTTATTTAACACATATTGAAGAACGAAAAACAATTTTTTTATTGTCACTTTCATACAAAATGGCGGCGACAGAGACCGTCGTCGAAAACAGCTGTTTTGAAAATACCGCCACGGGAGGACGGATTTCTCAGCATCTACAAGTCATGGGACAAAAACTAAAGAAAATTTATAATCTATATACAATTGGCTGTGGAAGTACGTAGGGTTTTTCTTCTTAATCAATTTTTGTGAAAGTGGCGCACTTTTTAAGCAAAGACTCGACTTTTTGCCCTAAAAATGAGCATTAAATTGTTTATAAAAAAAAAAAGTTTACATTCAATCAAAAAACGGCTTATTGTGAAGCTACTGTACAAATTTCAAATCGATCCATGCAATAGCCACTGAGAAATTCGTCCTCCCAGTTTGAAAAAAGTGGTTTCGAGAAAAACGCGTTTAAAGTTTTATAAACACTTTAATCGCGCTCTGAGGCACTGCGGCAAAATCGATCATTGAATCTTTTAACATTTGTTTTTCACTGTAAATCAAATGACGTATTATTTGTATGACCCTAAAGTATCGTTTAAGCAAAAAAAAATCGATTTTTTGAAAATCCTAGAGTGATTTCAGCTCTTAAAGTTGATAAAACAATTATCAACGAGAAAAATATAGATAAGTAGTTTTATCATTGATTAATGTTATGGAAAAGTCTTTTTTCAATATTCCTTACCATTTCAACAAAGAAGATTCTAGAAAATCTCCAGGTTAATGCTCCCCACGCGTGGCAATAATTTTGTAACTCACCATGTGCGCCATTTTCTGTTGCGTTCATAATTTCTATGCGCATCACGGTCCAGTGTCGCGTATGAGCGAGAAAATGTTGCAATTGTGGTGGCACCCTTAGCGACACGGAGAAAAGCGCAGGCTTCGAATCGATCCTCCACCCCCAAAGTTTCCAATGAACAACCCCCGGCCGACGACTCTCTCTTGTCGACCCAACAACAGTTCAAAAGCACCCGACGGCAAACATGGCGCTGGATTTTGCAGCCACGTACAAAGTTTTGGTGCTAGGTGACTCGAACGTCGGGAAGACCTGCATCGTGCATCGTTATTGCGACGAACGTTACTACGACACATATACATCAACGATAGGTGAGAGACCCGTCGACGATATCGTATCGCAGTTCTCTCCGGTCTACCTATCGTTACTTAACCCTTTGCGGTCCTATGTCGAGAGATGCTCGAAGAGAACGTACCGAAATAACTAAATCTCGAGCGCAAACGGTCGAAGATCGGCAAGCCGATCGATGACGATCTAACGAGCTGTTTACAGCCGCTTTATGCCATTCTCGCGGTTACTAGTTGCGTTAGTGTCGCGACGATTGTACTAATCTCACCTAATCGTGTCGGATCGAGAGTCCTCGAGTTTAGATTTCAACTTGTCGACAAGCGTCTATCGATCATTTACAGGGCATCTCATTGTTAGGGGATTAATTGATACGCTGATGTACGCTCCGCTTGAAGAGACATTGAAGATTTGATAAATTTTGCCTCGAGATACTGTGACCTGTGACGCGTGAAATTTTCTATCTTTTCGAGTTTAAAGTGTATACCAAGGTGTGCGATTAAGAGAATGATGTGGAAAACGTACTTTGTACTGCCAAGGAACAGTTTCTCTAATAAAACGGCCCTCTTTAAAAAAGAATTAGACGATTAATGTGATCGATCAGCTGATTAGACGCCCAGTGTACTTTTAAATAGATGTTTCAGATATTTGTGTATATACATATGTATACATAGAGGTCTATCATGCTTTTTGCGACTTCCATCCTGCAATTTTCGCTAAACATTCTTTCAATCGGTATATATTTTACATGCGTAGTCGAAAAGATTTGCTCCTATGATTTTCACGAGTAATGAATCAACAGGTATCGACTTCAAGCAGAAAATAATTAACCTGGATGGGACGCCGATTAAGCTTCAAATCTGGTAAGTACACTTGAAATCTACATATATCGATAAGTTTCAACTTTGTTAAGGCTAACTTGGCAATTTCAATAATGTGAGTGTACGTGACGTCCGCCAAAAATTACGAATACTAGTCGAATCTGAGACATGAAAGCGGGAAAGGCTCTTAAATCCAACATTCAGACAACTGACTTTCATTTTTTAGTTCTCTAATGTGCAAATAAATTACTTTGATTTTCAGCATATCTTTCGATACGTTAACAATAAAGTGCATTTGACAGCGCAGTCAAACAAAAATGAACAACTTCCATTCCGTTTATTTTTTTGTCTATAGTTACCACATTAGATCTATAGAAAGGTTTCATGATTTTCCTGGTGTATCATTTGTGGTATTGTAGCACTAATAAATAACGAGATTAATTTAGGATATAATGTTCATTGTTATCTTAAACTTTCTGCCATTTTAAGTATCTCTTTCACTCTATAAATTAAAATGAGATACTTTTACCTCACTTACTGACAAATGTTAAGAAACAAAGTAGTTATTGAAGCATTTTGCAGCATTTGCTGCATGTAATGTCCGTCAGATTGAGACTTAGATTAAGACTTAGATTAAGACTTACGTCTGAATTTTTGAATACTCTTTCGTTCTTTGCAAGCAAAAATTACTTGGCACTACCCACGTTGTATTTTCTCTTGGTACCGCGGTTCCCTTTAATCCAAGACTAGTCTTTCTTCCACCTTACGGTATAAAATCTATACTTTAGCAATGCAAACAGTATACTCCGAGATGTTGTCCTGAAAATGAAAAACCATTCGGTAACCACAGTTATTCCGTACTTGACTGTAAATTCTCAAGCTCCGCATGTAAATATTTATATTTATTACAAATTCTATCAATAATCATGAAATTCTCAACGGCACTTGCCCCAATTCACGTTTATCGAACCAGTTCCGTGCTTCGCCGTCGTACCTACATTTTTAAGGTCCACTTCTGTATTTACTTCTCCTGAAAAACAACACGTTTCCGATACTCCTTATTTTTATTAATTTATGTTTTAGCAAAATTCAATCGGATAAACAAGACTTCAATGTGTATCTTCGAAGGAACACGACCGTGACGATCATTTTCTAGGAAAATTCTACGTCATAATTCAGATAATCTTGTTTTCAAAGACTGTTGGCGACTATTGCACAAATTTTTAACAACTACTGTCGTCTTCTTGCCTACTTCAATATTATCCAATTAATTAAGGGGAGCAAACTCTACGAGGAGAAAATGTTTTGCCATTTTAGGGAGGCGCAAAATATAAAAAATCAAAATAAAAAAAAAAGAAAAAGAAAATATTTAACATATATGTTGCAGGGAAATGATAAAAATAGAGATTCGATCAAATTCCTAAAGTAGATGATCAATTCACGGGAGATGCTAAAATAACAACTCCATAAGGTCATTTCCCTAAAGAAAGTAAATGATTTGATCAAATCCCTTGACTGTTTTAGCGAAAAGATGGAATAATATTGTTTAGATATTAAAAGTATTAATTTAGTAAATCATGCGTTATTAAGTATAGAGTAGGTAATACAACAATACTCATAGAAACATAAATTATTTATTCGAGACTAATTAGCAAAAGAAATAGGTACTTAAGCTGATATTTTAAAAAACAAAAAGAATATTTTTAGGCAATGTCATTAATAAATAATTTATGTTTCTACGACTATTGTTGTATTACCTACTCTATACTTAATAACGCATGATTTACTAAATTAATACTTTTAATATCTAAACAATATTATTCCATCTTTTCACTAAAACAGTCAAGGGATTTGATCAAATCATATTATTTCATCTTTTCACTAAAACAGTTAAGGGATGTGATCAAATCGCTTACTTTCTTTAGGGAAATGACCTCACAGAGTTGTTATTTTAACATCTTCCGTGAATTGATCATCTACCTTAGGAATTTGATCAAATCTCTATTTTTATCATTTCCCTGCAACATATACAAATATGAATCACTTCAATACCTTTTTTTACTGATAGATTTATTGTTGAAATTTAACAACATTAGAGTATATTTTTCCCGTGCCCTCAATGTCTATCGAAGAAAGTCTAAATTAAATGATAGGTTCGATGTTTTTAAATAAATTTGTCAATATAAGTATGTATTAGGTGTATGCATAAGTTTTGTAGTTCGTTTTGTTTTCGTGTTGAATCACTTTATTAATGTCTCGGTTCCAAGTCATGAGATCTTAGGGGGATCGAACCAGTCTATTCGGTTAACAAAATAGAGTACTCTGTCGATAACGGAGTTTCTTTTCATATCGACGGACTTATCGGTAGAGAACGCTCCATTATCGACCGAGAACTCTATCTTACCAATCATGTAACCCCATACCCTTTCGAGATCCCATAGCTTAAAACTGGGTTAATATTTCTATCTGCTCTATCAAGTTAATCGTTACTATTAATATACTATTGATTTTTTAAAGGGATACTGCTGGTCAGGAGCGATTTAGAACGCTAACCACAGCTTATTACCGCGGTGCCATGGGTATACTTTTGATGTATGACGTCACAAATTTAGAAAGTTTCAATCATATGTCTTATTGGCTACAAAATATTCAAGAAGTAAGCAGACGAAATATCATATTCGACAAACTAATCGACATGACATATAACAAAAGATATTTGCATACCCACACTGCTGCTCAAAAGTTCGAAGCACCTTTTGATTTTCACAGAAAATTATATTGTTGCATGTTAAAAAAACGTTATTCGAGCACAATATAAAATAAAAATTGCGTATCTTGCATATTCGTTAAAAAAATACAAGAAACTTGCAAATTACTCTTTCTCAAAACACAAAGTTTAGAATTTCACATTTTCTGGCGATCAATTATCTAATTATTTTGATATTGATCCTATTTTGTCGACGAGTGAATGCAAACCTTAAGAAATCAAGGAACTCGATAGCAATAATGATAAAATGTTTAGTTTCAAACATGATCATAATTTCCATCCAAAATTATACTTTAATCGTATATTCACTAAAACCTTTCTATACGTATATTCTATATATGCACATAGAAAAAGCTTGATTTATTTTCAATACAAAGGATCGCTTTTGAGCAGGAATGTATCTGCATTAGAGATAGAAATACATAAAATGGGAAAGTTAAGCATCTTTATTTTAATAAAATATTCATACGATGATAAATATTTTCGTTTATTTGCAAAGGACAGTATGATTCATCGCAGAAAGAAATTTCACTGCAAAAGACAAAAAATCGTCTTACATTTTTCGATTCGACGCGAATAACGAAACCCTTTCGTCATTTTCTTTGCAGAACGCTTCGCCAGATGTGGTAAAAGTGTTGACAGCGAATAAATGCGACGTTACTGCGAACAGAGCTGTTAACGTGGAGTGGGGACAAAAAATAGCCGAACATTTTGACATGCCCTTTTTCGAGGTTTCCTGTAAAGAGAACATAAACATCGAGAAAGCGTTCCTTACGCTGGCTAGAAGAATACGAGAGCAACGAGGACAAACGGTAAAATATTATTTCAAATAACACGTTATCTTATTTCACAGCTATTTTTATACCTGCGATCAATTTTGAAGTAACATTATTCGAAGTATTATTTCAAATGACGTATTATTTTATTTTATAATTATTTGAAATAATGGTGAAATTGTTCTTTAAAATTATATCAGACTACTTGATTCTGGTTTGAACCGGATCATTCCATGCGAAACCGAACACTTTTTAGCGATATTTTAACATATCTCGAAGGATTTTTAAGAATTCTACATTAAAAAATTCGTATTAAAATAAACAAAAGAAATATAATACAAATGACGTGTTCGAAGTCTTACAAGTATTCGAGTACACAAGTGTTACGGTAACATGCGCCAGTCGTCAACTATGAAAGAAGAATAAAAATGATTCATGCTGTTTTATTAGCAGCCAGCAAATTGTGTTGGTTAATTTCAAAGATTGTATGCACTCATTCCATATTTTATAATGATACTTGTAATGATATAATTTATATCATCACTACACTGCGAATTTTATGCACTTGTGACGTACAATAATATAGAAAACATACATGAAATATGCATAATGTGTGTTGAACATATTCTACAATTAATATAATAATATTTTTATTTCATTTTTCATAGATGCTCGTACATTTTGGTTATGTTTAGCATGTGATTATTATTACATATTACTTTCATATCATCATAAATGCATATAATCCGCAGTCTAATCGTCACACTTGGAAGAGATATTCGGGTGGCCTAGGTGTAGGTGGATCACCCTATACAGGGTGTCCCAAAAATGTTGTAACATCTTGAAAGGGGTGGTTCGAGAGATGATTTGAAACAACTTTTTCCTTAGCGAAAATGTTGTCCGAGGCTTCGTTGAGGAGATATTAACGGAAAACATTGACCAATCAGAGCGCGCGTAGACCGTTGGAGCTGCCGTGGTAGCGAAGGCTACGAGCTAAGCGGTCGCGTCAATGTCCCCTTCGATGCACGTCGTGTCGCTTGTTCGCGTATGAGCGCGGCCGCTTAGCGCGTAGCCTTCGCTACTACGGCCGCTCCAACGGTATACGCGCGCTCTGATTGGCCGAGGTTTTCTGTTAATATCTTCTTAACGAAGCCTCGGACAACATTTTCGCTAAGGAAAAAGTTGTTCCACATAACCTCCCGAACCATCCCTTTCAAAGACCTCCAACATTTTTGGGACACCCTGTATATTTCTTTCAAGAAAAATGTATAATCTTTAGTCAAATTTAAATTTGACATTTAATCTAATGTTATTATTATACATAAAATTTCATTAAAATGCTGCAATTACTTTACCTTATCCCAATAGAATAATATTTAATTAATAATATTTAAATGAAAATTGATTTAAACTTACAATTATTACATATTAAAGTTGATTGAACCAACATCGTATGCATCCTGATTTCAGGTCAGTTTGTTCGAGGCATCCGAATGTGAACAACCCGACAGCGCCAGCGTAATTAAACTTCAATTAAAGAGTCAACTGAGGGACGGATGGAGCTGCTCGTGTTAGTTTATACCTATAATTAATTATGGGAATCGAGACGTGCTTCGAGTATCGGTAAAACACACGATGGATTCGCTTGAGACGGGATTTTATCTTTCGACGGGCCAGCATACAGAAAAAGAAGAGGAAGGCGCGTTGTTTCTATATGTAAGTGTACATACATACGCATGATGCGAGAGAATTACGTCGAAGTGAAATTTCGAGAAGGTACGGGCACCGAGAAGTCCGAGCCTAGCACGAATGGAGGAGACAGAAAAAGGTTTTTTGTATTGATGAGTAGATTATATTATATGTATGTGCTGTCTGCGACACTTGATTAAACGCGTTAAAAGTTTTGCTATATTATTCTCTATTTATTCTCTACTTAATACATGGTGGTACAACCGAGGTGGGTGTGATTCTACATGAAAAAACAAATCGAAAATAAGGAATCGAATTTCTTCATTTGAGGCTTCGTTCTCAAGAAAATCGCTTTTGAATATTCAGCGAGTACGCGTACATTTAACTATGGTTTAGATAGGTGGATCTCGATACAGACTTTACATTCACACTAAATCCGTAGGCAGAAATGAGTAATACAGCACATCATCTTGATATTAATGATATTAGTACTATTTATAAGTGACATATGACTTGATGTGGATCGGAATCCATCCATCTAAACCATCTCGGTTGTACCACCGATGCTGAGACACCCTGTATTTCGAAAGCAATAGGTCCTATGTAATGGAAGTAGGTATACGCAGTTATTTTAATTAAGCTCTTATTTAGTCTGAAGATATTTATTCTTTATGGAAAAAGATACATATCAGCCTGCGTCGTTTGAATACATGCATGGCAAATGAAACGTAAAAAGACAATATATATTTAACGAAAATACTTTATTAGTATCTTTCTTGTACATCTACCATTTTTCTTTATAATGCAAAGAATCTGATTTGGTAACGATTTATACAGAGTGTGTATAGAAGAATATGGTATTATTTTCAATTCGGACTCGATAGCGTTTACAAGATCTTCTTAGCAAGAAAGTGATCGATTATTATTCGTATTAATTCGTCTTGAAAAGTGCCCCCAAACATTTTCGATGATGTTCAAATCTGGTGATAGTGCTGGCCAATTTATTAACTATGTAATTCCCTGTTGTTTGTGCCAGTCATTAATTAATTTGACCATGCGTATAAACGGGTTATTGTGTTGAAGTATCTATTATCTTGCATTATGTCAACAATCTGATGATTCGTATCTTTTTCATGAACAATGAATATTTTTCTACTAAATAATTGAACACTTAACACAACTGCGTATGCTTTCATTAAATAGGATCTATTATTTTACAAAACTAGTATTAATTGATCTTAGGACAAGTATAGTATAATAAAAATATTATTGCGTTTATTCAAGTGTCGCGGACTGTGTGTCTACAATGCAACTATCAGCGATACTTGTCACGAATACTAGAACAAGTATCGCATAGTGCATATACACCTTTCCACCGATTTACACGAAAGAGTGGTTTCTCTCTTTTCGTATGAAAACCCGTGCAAAGCGGGAGTAAACAAACAAAATAACTTGATTGGTTATCCAATTAAAATCCTTTATTCCAACGTAAAATATAAATGAAATACGAATGAAAAACAAAAAGTGCCAGTTCATTCGTAAAATAAGAAATATATACAGCTATATTTTATAATCTTAGTTTCTAAAAATACGATTTTTCTTTCACGTGGCACGTGTATCTTTTTAATTTCTTTCGAAAACTATCATTAATTATCACTGCCCATTAAATATGAAGTTTTGAAAAGGAAATTCTCCTTTTTAAATTGAATGCCAACGTTAATAAACAAACTACACTAAGAACTGATTGTATAGATACAGACTGTCCAGTTTAGCGAACATTTCTCTTTTCAACTGTTTTTATTTTTAGATATCCGTTATTTGAAAAACGCCTAAAGAAAAATTGTCTAAAACAAAAAAAGTACCGTGTTGGTCGGTGGTTAGGTATACCGCCATGACTTTCGCACCTTCGTTCCAATGTTTTTCAAACGCCGAAACGTGATGATTCGTCATTGGACATACCGCGTGTACGCAATTAGGCACGCATCACGTAGAACAACGTAACCGTATAAGAAAGGCACAATTATACTCTATGCTAAGCGAATATTGCTAAAAAAAAAAAGACTCGTACTTTACCTCAGAATATGCTCCTACGTTATGCATAGCGTTTAACCCTTTGAACGCGGGACGATTTTTGCTGGAAGTTCTACGGGGCATACTACTGCCAGAGTCGCGCTCGTAGTTTAACGAGGCGCGGTAAGCTGTGTCTCGTTTTCAACGTTTCGGAGACGAATACAAATTAACCCCTTTAGCGCCGACCCAAGAAGTTCAACCTGATCGACAAATGCCTAGTTCCACAGATGTAATTTAGTAGAGTCTGAAAAGAAAATTAATAAGAATTTAGTTGTAGATGAAAATCGTGAAATTTACAAAATAACGCGTTAAGATATAGAGAAAATTAATTCTTGATGATTACATTAATAATATTTATCTAAAATTGTTGAAGCAAAATTCGAATCTTTGGTTATTCTTTATAAAAACCATTTACAAATTGAACAAATTACCACTATAACATAGTTTGACATAGAATATGTGATACAAAGTATGAGCAATGCATATTTTATTATTTATAACAATATCAGGAGTTACTACTTCCATCATTTAATTTTACATGGGAATCAGAGGATGCAAATTCGAATCTCTGTTTGACGTAACGCCATTTTAATTCTACGTTGCTATACATAAAGAGATAATTAATTATTGTCTATAAAATATCTATTGAAAACTACATCTATAATAATGTTTATTTAATATTATAAAGAAAATTCGAATCTTTGATTATTCTTCATTAACAGCATTTATGCATGCAATGTAGAATCCAATGTATATTTAAATATTTATAACAGTATAACAAGTCACTACTTCCATGTAATTGTCAGTCAATTGAACTAATTCCTTATAATATTATAATTGAGTTAATGTAATGTAACATCAATGGCGTGAATATAATCAAGTTACAAATGCATTCAATTCAAGGATTGTCATTTGCCATTTTCAAACACAAACGCATAGAACGCACGACGATGTTTTGCACCAAAGGGGTTAATTGTAATCTAGGCAATAGATGTCTATTTACGACTAAACGATTGCAGCCAACAATGAAGCAATTCGAGTCACGCTATTTATACAGGTATATGTAAATAGATACATCAGAACCCGATACCGTTTACCATTGTTATCGGGAACTAACATGACAGTGGTAAATAATGAAAATTACGTGTGACTATTTAGGTAAAACAAAGCAAAATTCTGGCATCTGCGGCATCACTGTTTCTCATCGAACAAACAGAACTTCAAACCGAGCTTTGTAGTATTACGAACCGGAAAAAGTTCACGAGGCTTTTTAAAACGCAATTCAGATACTCGGAACCTTTTTTTTTTTTTTAAAACACTATTTCATTTAACGAAGTGTCCATTTATTTGTAGGACTCTTTTCCATCGTTCTACAAGCTTGTCAATTCCTTTTTTTATAAAAGTTTTGAGTTTTATTCATAAAAAATGAATTAATTTCCGATTTCACTTCGACACCGTTTTTAAAGTTACTGTTTAGTGAAAAGTTAGACATCGATCAAATTGAGTGGTAGTTATAAGGATACAGATCAGACTATAAGGAGGATGAGGTAAAACTTTCCGTTAAACATTCTTTTTTTTTAGCGAGTCGAAAAAGGAATTTGAAGTCGTGCGTTATCGTGTAAAAGAAGTGCCTAAACAAATTTTCAATTTTTCGTTGTCTGTCTTTAATAAAACAATTGAAAACTACACAGCATGTATATTAACTACGAAGATCAAACTTGTTGCTGATACCAATTTTATGTAATACATTTGCAAATTACTAAACGAAACTCGATTTTAGTTCTTTGCTAACCAAAAGACCACGCGAACTTTTTCCGATACCTAATAACGGACGACACCACGTGTTAAATTCAAGAGTATGAAGCATACAACTGTTTTGTAATAAACTTATAGCGCGTATATTAACCAGCGAAGCAAACGGTGCGACTGTACAACATTTTATAAAATTTTAAACTCGATTACGTTATGAAATATACTATGTTAGAATTTGCTTGTTGGTTAATCATTTTTGCACAGTTTTACACGTAATAGTTGATACGTTTGTTACTTAGCCCGTTCATTCTCGAACCAATTGTTAATACAATCGCCATTTTGAAACTTGAACGTGGTTTGTTTCGTTTGTCGTGGTGTTAAATCAGTGATTCTTAACATTTTTAAGCTCGTGGCACAGAGTAGAAAGAGATTCAATAATACATTGCTTGCAATGTATCAATTCCATAAAGATACAATTTTTATTTGAATTTTTATTTTTACTTGATTCAAAGAAGAAAGATTTAACGAATGGGACCCAAGTAATTTAGGATCGAAACGTTTAAAACATAAAGGGTTTTCCAGAAGGAGCTTTTATTTTATTATCTAATAACAAAATACACCTGCAACGTAACCGTGGTGTACATCTTTCGCGTTTAATTGCATTCATATTCTATCTGTTGTAGCCATTAATTTATAGATATTTGATTGAACATTAATATAGTTTGAAAAATCTTCCAAAATAAAAATGCGTCAGATCTGTTGCCAAACATTGGCGATGCACAATGGTTAAGAATCACTGTGTCAAGCAATATATTTATAATCTAACATTGTACACCAGGGCATCAGAACCGTTTCACCGCACGAGCAGCATGCAAAATACACAGTCGCATCTCTCTGTGGCGCCACTGTGACGCGACTGTATTTCTTTGTGGCGCCACTGTGACGCGACTGTATTTC